ACAGACTTGAATCAGTTTCTAAAGATTTGAAGACTCACACTCAGCTGTCTTCTGACAAAATACATTCAAGATCCTTTTCTGAAAAGCCGTTCATCACATCCTTATTCGAAAGCCACTAAAAGTCGAAGAAAAAGTTTCAAGAATATAAACTAAGGTATATTGTCAAAACATATAGTATATTTTCTATAATATATATTATTGGACATACAAATCGTCGTATGTTAATTTACTACTTCAGAGCATCTGAAACTGGGATCCGAAAGTCATGTCCGGAATTTCATAAAAAAACATTTAAAACAATGTGATTAATAGAATAAAATATGAATGAAAAAATGTAATTTTGGAATACAGCTTTTCGGGTCCACGGAATCTTTTTTAAAACAAAAATATCGATAGGTTTGGGGGTCCGCGAAAACAAAAGTAATTAACAAAGGACTTCGGGTTACTAAAGTTTGAGAACCGTTTTAGTACTGTCTACTAATATATATCACTATAATCTACTTCCCTACACAAGTCCCCAGTGGCACATCGGTATGTCTGTGGATTTACAACGCTAGAAACCGGGTGGGCAGAGCACAGATAACCCTTTGTTACAAACAAGCCTACACAACTAAAAATAAAATTTAAATAAAAACTTACAAGTTGATATTAAAGCCAATCAACTTAAGAATAGAGTTAATAGCTACAAAATGAATTATTTGAAATGCTATCGCCATTAGTTTGATTTACTTTTTCTTTTTACACCAACGGCAGTTTTTCGAAACTTGAAAATAAACGTGCTTGTACCATGGATTTGGATTAGATAGGTCTGCAGATTTGTAGAACATAATTATAAACTTTTCTTTTTTTTTCGTATTTTCACTTGATTTGCAACCACAGATACTTTCAAAGTGCTTTTTAGCACACCCTAATCTTTGGCATTCTCATTAGCAACGCGTAAACTTCCTACTAGTAGCCAGTTTGAAGTTCATGACTGTAACTCTAATTAGCACTGAAGTACGTAACAAAAATAAAAATGAATTTCATAGAAAACGCCCATAAAATAGGCTAGCAAACACTTGAAATCGTGACATAGAACTAAACTATTACTGTAAGACTGTTATGTTTATCACTGGATTTATCTAAAGGAAACATTACTAAACTATAACCTAAGAGGTTGTTTTTCTCTTACTTCTGAAATGTTTTATCATTTTTTTCTTTTCTTTTTCGCGAATTTTTTTTTTCATTTCTTCAAATTTCTGTTGAAAGTTTATTTGTTCTTCAATCTGAATATTACTTTTTAGTACTTGCTAAAACTGAATAAAATATTGGTATTATTGTGAGGCCCTCTTTACATTTTCAGTGAAGGTTGTTTATTACATGTACCATCTCAGCCAGCAGAAAGTCAGGCAAACCAAACGCCATACGTTACTTAGTAATCTGTTAAAACATAATGTTAATACGAATTATTAATTTTCAAAGTATCGACTATTTACTGTTAATATATTACATATTGAAAGAAGAGGTTAGTGTAAAGTATGATAAATCTTAATATCGTATTTTACGTGTGTTTGTTTGTTTGTTTTGAATTTCGTGCAAAGCTACACGAGGGCTATCTGCGCTAGCCGTCCCTAATTTAACAGTGTAAGACTAGAGGGAAGGCAGCTAGTCATCACCACCCACCGCCAGCTCTTGGGCTACTCTTTTACCAACGAATAGTGGGATTGACCGTCACATTATAACGCCCCCACGGCTGAAAGGGCGAGCATGTTTAGCGGGACGGGGATTAGAACCCGCGACCCTCAGATTGCGAGTCGAGCGCCCTAACCACTTGGCCATGCCGAGCCTATTTTACGTGTGAAAGAGAACTATTGATTAAATAGGTATCAAGCATATGGGTGGTAGTAAATCAGCAAAAATATCAGTCGGAAGTCGAATCGAAAGTACACTTTTCTCCATGTAAAATTAATGTAAATTTCACGTGTATTTTTAAAGCGACTATAAATGAAAAAAATAATAAACTACATTAAGTAAACGAAAAATATACCGGACGCATATATGGTAAATGGATCGTAAATATTTAATAACAAAATAATTCTCTTTCTCATAATTTCACTGGTAATGATACCATATTTATTCTTTACTTTCTTCACTGATGTGCTGTGTTTATTTGAAAGTAATACGTTATTTTTGTTAGTTTTCTACTTCTGAAGTGGATACCAATACTCCGCAAAAATGACTCAATTGACTTATACTTTCTCAATCTTAGCTCCCTAAAAAAAAAACTTGTCCTGTGGTTCTTTTCTGCGCCAACGCGACCTGTTTCTTGAAAATATTAAGCTCTCAAACTATAAGTACATATTTCATGAAGCAATTCTCCAACGTTCAGAAACAAATTATGCGCAGAATATTTTTTATGTTGCAGTAACTGTAACTAAAAAAAAAAACCTCTTTTTGGTCTCGTTTGCTAACATGGGTTTTTAACAATATTAAAGAGCTAAATAAATAATATATTCACCTAATACTTATGCAAAATATTTTCAGCAGTTTCTGTCTTTCAATGTAGTAGAAAAAAAAAAGAAGAAATAAGGCTCAATTCAAACTTCGGTTTGTTTTTAATTATGCACAAAGCTACACAAGGGCTATCTCTGCTCTGCCCACCACGGGTATCGAAACCCGGTTTCTAGCGTTGTAAGTCCGCAGACATACCGCTGTGCCACTGGAGGATGAAATGTATGATTATGAAGAAAATCATGTTTGCAAAGAAACATTTTTTGAATCATTGATATTTCGCGGTTGATGCTAATCACAAAAGATTCATTTTCGCAGTGATTTGTGCAAATATTTATCTTAACCATTAAATATACAAAGGTACTAAATACTTTAACGACATTTATTAGTGGTTCGAATAACTAAACAGAAAATTCAATATTACGAATAAATTTTCTTCCTTATATAACTAGATTCTTAAGTTTAAAAAGTCAAAGATATTCATGTGTAACGTATGTAAGTGTGGAAGGGAATATCTTTAAGTGTATTTAGAAGACACCTCACATAACCAAAATATCCAGGTTTACATGTCCTCCTATTCATCCACAGTAGCGAGATTCAAGCTTTGGTTATTTTTCTTTATATTCGTCTAAGTTAATTGGACTTAGAAGATGAATTATCTTCAGATATAGTGGTCATGGTCCGATGCAGAATTGAAATGCTTGTACCAAGTTTCATAAGTCTTCAAATGTAGACCATGAATCATCCTTTTCCTAATCATTCCCTAAGAGTTGGGTTTAAAAGTGGGTCCTCCTCCTATATATTAAAAGTTCCCAGAGTGATCAGATGTTGAATATTCTTCTTAAATTTTATAATATTCAGTTTTAGAAATGTTTGTATGTTTGTTATTAAGTACAAAGCTACACAATAGGCTATATGTGTGCTCTCACCACTAGGGGTATCAAAATCTGGTTTTAACGTTATAAGCCGTCAGACTTACCACAGACCCACTCGGAGGGATTTAGGAAATAAATCTTTCTTTATACATGTTCAAGGTATTCAAATACTTGAGTCTTTATCCTATACGTCCAAGGTACCTAAATTAAAGGTTTGAGTCTTTATTCTATACGTCCAAGGTACCTAAAGTTAAAGGTTTGAGTCTTTATTCTATACGTCCAAGGTACCTAAAGTTAAAGGTTTGAGTCTTTATTCTATACGTCCAAGGTACCTAAAGTTAAGGACTTGAGTCTTTAGCCTATACGTCCAAGGTACCTAAAGTTAAAGGTTTGAGTCTTTATTCTATACGTCCAAGGTACCTGAAGTTAAGGACTTGAGTCTTTATCCTATACGTCCAAGGTACCTAAAGTTAAAGGTTTGAGTCTTTATTCTATACGTCCAAGGTACCTAAAGTTAAAGACTTGAGACTTTATCCTATACGTCCAAGGTACCTAAAGCTAAAGGTTTGAGTCTTTATTCTATACGTCCAAGGTACCAAAGTTAACGGTTTTAGTCTTTATTCTATACGTCCAAGGCACCTGAAGTTAAGGACTTGAGTCTTTATCCTATACGTCCAAGGTATTTCGGTTAGTGAAACAGTCTGACTTTTGTAAAAGAATATCATTATGATTTCATAATGGTCCCAATATTAAGGAATTTTTTATATGTATGGTTCAACTAATATAGAAGTACTATGAGCGGTTGTATGATTTCACGAATGTTGTTCATTCTAACAATATGTCGCTATAAAAATAAATGACTGGAACGAACAGAGACATGTCTCTTATTCTTGTCTTAACTTATTTAAACGTGTTTACAAAGTATTGCATTGAGTCACGGTGTTAACTATATTAGCTATCATGCTTTCCGTACAGAAGTTATGAACGTTTAATGAGATCATAAAAACTAATTTATTTTATCCAAAACACTGGATTTTAGCGTTGCGAGTTCGTAAACCTGTCACTGATCCACCGGTGGACTCAAAATAATGAATTATTTTACTGCAAAATCGTGCTTTTTTATGAAAGGCATATGTACTTCTTGAAAATAATAAGTTATCTATACAATAATTATATACACGTATTAGCTCCAAAGGTATATGTACTTCTGTAAAATAATAAGTTATCTATACAATAATTATATATACGTATTAGCTCCAAAGGCATATGTACTTCTTGAAAATAATAAGTTATCTACACAATAATTATATATATACGTATTAGCTCCAAAGGCATATGTACTTCTGTAAAATAATAAGTTATCTATACAATAATTATATATATACGTATTAGCTCCAGCGGAAAGTTTGTTCAAAATGGAAAAAAAATACATCATAAAGAAATTTTAATTCGTTTCAAAAATTAAAAAAAACAACAACAAGAAAAACAGGATGCGTCATACCATCTTACGTCACCCGTCTCGGCGTTCCCTATTGGAGCAGATCGTTATTTGTGGAGGAACCTCCCCGCGCTCGTAGGCGTTCAATACCGGAGATTTTAGACAGGAAGAATTAGTTTAGCGCGGTGCCTTTCAAAGTCAAGGCATCCGTTATGGCAGAACAGTCGCAACAGAGAAGTTGAGGCTTGCAACTCTTCGTGGAGCTTTTCAACTTAGCTGGAATGTTTATTTCTGCCTAGACGGCGCAGGTAGGCTAATCGTAATCTTTAAGGTAGTTTTCATGAACATCATATTTGTGATTTTTTTTTTATTCTGTTTGTTGAACGAGTACTAATTATCATGACGGATAACATACCTGTAGAGCTCCTACCAGCATTAGTACATTTTCACGGTTTATAAAGCGATCTATTACGTAGTGTTTAAGTTTATTTGTTGCAACCGCGGCTGCTTGCTCCATGAGCGTTTTCTGTAGTGACAGGGGTTGGTTACAGTCGGACTAGTTGCGTTATATACGCTTTTCATAGATAAAAATATAAAACCCTATAACTGGATCGCTTTTCGCTTTCAAAAAGTGGACCTTTTTTCATCAGGGGCAAACAGTATGTACTACCTTTTTTTCATCAGGGGCAAACAGTGTGTACTATGTTTAACGTATTATTTTTCATTCTATTTAATTTCCTTTCATTACATTTTAATAATAGTATCAAAATTATTATTATTTATTGTAAGATTTTGTTATTCATTTAACTTTTATTTATCACTTTTATCTTCATAAACATAAGTTCCTTTGTTGTACTATTTGTACTGTCCTGCTACTTGACTCTATAACTTAAACAATTACTATTTATCACACAAATCAAACTTCTCTGCCTGTCACTAGTCGCAAGACTTTGTTAGAATGTTTAATATGTCACTAAAAATAATATTTTATTATTATTATTATATCTTCACGAAAATATAAATATATATTGTTGTTTTTTGCATTGTTGATTTAGTTTATGGATTTAGGACTAACCTAAATCACCTAAGCTGACCGAACGTCTTGAGATATTATTGGCGACATGACTGGAAATCACGCTAACGGGGAGGGCGTCTAACTGATGAAATAATGCATTCTAATTATACTTGTCATGAGACATTAGTATAAGACATTACATTTTTAAACACTACATTCTTTATCTAGTCTCTTACAGATTTTCAAGAATTAAAAGAGCGTATAATGATAATATTCCAACCACACATCATTAGTCATAGCCACTGCCAACAACGCGTTTCGCTCAATCCAGAGCTCTTCAGACCGGCTGGGATGCAACAGACGCAGTAGTGGTCGGAATACTCTTTGTATAATGCATTTGATGTGGCTCACAATGCGCATTTGTTATTAAAGAATTAAAGGCCCGGCATGGCCAGGTGGATAAGGCGCTCGACTCACAATCTGAGGGTCGCGGGTTCGAATCCGCATCCCGCCAAACATGCTCGCCCTTTCAGCCGTGGGGGCGTTATAATGTGACGGTCAATCCCACTATTCGTTGGTAAAAGAGTAGCCCAAGAGTTGGCGGTGGGTGGT